GGTGGGGGGGGCTCTGTGAGATCCGCGGGCGACCCCGTGCCCCGGGAAGCCCTGTTTCGGATGCAGCCTCGGCTTCAGAGCTGATGGCCGTCACTGCAGCGTGAGGCCGGAGTGCTGGAAGCAGCTTAAACCGCGGTTGGAGGCCGCTGGTGGGCGGTGAGGTCCGAAAGGTTGGCGACCGCTGGTTCAAACTGCTAACAGCAGGGACTGGCTGGTTCATGGAATCGGTGTGTCCACAGGGCAGCCTGCTGGGCAGCCAGAGGGACACACACTCCTGTTCCCTGAGGCTGTGTTGTTTGTTTGTTTGTTTGTTTTTACTCCTCCTCCGAGGACATTTTCCCAGTGATGTTTAGAGAGGAAGGGAGGGCGAGAGACAGAGAGAAACGTCGATGTGAGAGAGAGACATCCATTGGTTGCCTCCTGCACACGCCTGACCAGGGCCCTGGCTGGGGAGGAGCCTGCAACTGAGGTCTGTACCCTTGACTAGAATCGAACCCAGAGCCCTTCAGTCCACAGGCCGACACTCTATCCACTGAGGCACACTGGCCAGGGCACAGGGTTTTCACTGAGATAGACAAATGCTGGACTTCTGAGTTAACAGGGATCTGTAAAACTTTACGTGGAGACTATATACACGTGTGTATAAAGATAAACATACATGTGACACGTGTGTGTGTATATACACGCAATGCCATGTGCTTGGCTCCCAGGACAGAACTCGCAGAGGGAGGGAAACAGGCCATGCGGTGTGATGACAGTGGCCCCGGGAGTTTAATGTTCTTCCCTGAACGACGTGCGTTTTCACGTCCTGCCGTGTCTGAGCCCTGCCCCTGGTCCCCGTGGGGGCCTGTGTGTAGTCGTGACGTCGACTCACCTAGTTCACATTGTGTGTGTAGTCGGACTCAGAGCGGGTGTCAGAGTGAGAAGCGAGTTAATTGTGCGTCCTCTCCATGCCTTACGATGCCGCTGCAGCTGCGCCTGCAGGTGGACAGGACACCAGGTAACGCCTCCCCGCCACGTCCCTGCACGCCCCTCGCCCGACATTCCCGCTCATGACCTCCTCGGCCAGCGTCGCGCCCACCGCTCAGCGTGCTCGTCCCCGCGCTGCCGCATCCCTTTCGCTCTTTTCAAAACATGAACTGGTTTTGGTGACTTCGTGTCGGTCCATTTGTCATGGTCTCATCTCATGAGCGTCAGAACGGCATCCGGGTCCATCCACACGCATCGCGCTCGCGTGCGAACCTCCTCGGCTTCGCGGCGTCTCGGAGACGCGGCGGGGCCGCGGGAACGGCTCCTGAGCCGGAATGTTTTGTTCTCAGGGTGAAATGATCAACAACATAGAGAAGAACGTGATGAACGCGGCGGACTACGTGGAACACGCCAAGGAGGAGACGAAGAAAGCCATCAAGTATCAGAGCAAAGCGCGCAGGGTGAGTGGCCACGGGGGGCAGGCGTGTTTCCCCCGCGGGCCCGGCTGTGATCTGTGTCGGCTGACCTCAGGCGTCCCAGGAATAAACACGTCTTCGTGCTGCGTTGTTAAGCAGAAGCTGTTCTTTTGCTGAGAAGCCTGGGAGTTTGTGAGGTAAATTACGCTGAGAGCCCCTCCGCGTCTGAGTAATTCAGACCCTTCGCAGACGGCACCCCCCGCCCCCCGCTCCCTCCTCCAGGGCGGGCTCATCCCGGGTCCGCTGCCTCTCGGGTCCTTATTGGAAAGAAATAAACGAACGGGATTGGCCGTTCTCCTGAGACCCACGGGCTACACATTTCACGCAGTGAGCGCTGCGTTCTCCGCTGAGGCTGCCTGCTGACCCCGTGGTGGGGAAGGAGGAGGGTTTGACGGCCGAGAGGTGAGGTCCAGGAGTGTCCACACGGAACCTTTGTATCTGAACCTTAAACGTGTCGTGTGTGTGAGCCAGAGCCCTTCCAGGGAACACGGAGACGACGCAGTGCCCTTCCGACTCGGGGACGGAAGGCTGTGTGTGCCCGTGCGTGCGCACGTGAGTGTGTATGTGTGTGCACGTGTGTGCATGTGAGTGGGTATGTGTGTGCACGTGTGTGTGCGCGAGCGTGTGTGTGAGTGGGTATGTGTGTGCACGTGTGTGCATGTGAGTGGGTATGTGCGTGTACGCGTGCGAGTGTGTGCGAGTGTGTGTGCGCACGCGAGTGTGTATGTGTGTGCATATGTGTGTGCATGTGAGTGGGTATGTGTGTGCATGTGTGTGTGCGCGAGCGTGTGTGTGAGTGGGTATGTGTGTGCGCACGTGTATGTGCACGAGTGTGTGTGTGAGCGCGTGCATGCATGCAGCCATGTCAACCAAGGCCTTGGAATCGGGGTCGGGTCGTGCACAGACTTCTGTGACGACAGGTGCAGGTCTGCTCCCCTGTCGCCTGCAGCCCCTCATGCTGGGACCTGGGCCCCCAGGTGACCTGGGACCTGGGCAGGCTTCTGGCCTCCAGAGGGCGGTGCTGAGCCTCGTCCAGGCTCAGAGGGCCTGGCCCCTCAAGTCACGGAAAAGGGGCAGCTCCCCCCCTTTTGTCCAGGCCAATGGGAACGTGCAGGCGAGGCTCATCGGTGCGGAGAGATGACAGGGGTGGGGTGACGCACCCCATTCCACACCTGCAGGGGCCTCGCTTTGGGGCTAGGGGTCTGGGCATCACCCAGCGCCAGCTGATGGCTCACCGCTCGCTCGTTCCTGTGAGATGCCTGACGCCCCCAGCGCACGGCTTGCTGGACCTGCCTCCTGCTCCTCGGCGCTTGCACCGGGCGGCCCCTCCGGCCGCTTCTGTTCCCAGGCAGCTGTGCGGCCGGGAGACCTGGTGGCTGTCGGGGCTTTGCTCACAGAGCCGCTGTCTTTGGTGGGGCGGGGCGGCTGCAGAGCCCACAGGGGAAGAGCCGGGTCCTCGGCATGGAGCAGAGCGAGGCCGCCAGGCAGGCCTCCCCGCGAGCCCGGGGCTCCAGGCTCCCCGGCAGTCGTCTCCCCGTCGCGTGAACCCCGGGCCTCCCAGTAAACGTCACGTTATCCCGGAACTGAGAGCCCCCCGGCAACGGGTCCCAGGCCCCTCCCGCGCCCGGCCTACCAAGGGTCCAGATGGTGGTGGTTTACACGAGGCCGCCTCCTGGCGCGGCCACAGGGCGTGACCCGGTGTGACCAGCTCGCTTTTCTTTGGCAGAAAAAGTGGATCCTGGTGGCCGTGGCGGTGGTGCTGGTCGCTGTCGTGGCTCTGATTATTGGCTTATCGGTTGGCAAGTGAGGCTGCAGATGACGCCAGGGTGCATGCCTCTGCCGCGCGGCAGTAAGTAACGACTAACCCGCTAACCTTCCGGCCGCTCTGCCTGCTGCCCCGACTCACCCAGCTGGCGGCTCTAACCTCCCAGCGCCTGCCGTGGCCGCTGAGCGTCTTCAGGCCCAGGCCTCTTCCTCCTCCTCCTCCTCCTCCTCCTCCTCCTCCTCCTCCTCCTCCTCTTTTAAAGACTGCCACCTAGAATACATTTTACTTACTTTTGTTAATCCTCACCGGAGGATAGTTTTCCATTGATTTTTAGAGAGAGTGGAAGGGAGGGGGAGAGACAGAGACACACACACATCGATGTGAGAGAGACACATTGATTGGTTGCTTCCTGCACGGGGATGGAGCCCGCAACCGAGGTATGAGCCCTTGACTGGAATCGAACCCGGGACCCTTCAGTCCGCAGGCTGACGCTCTATCCATTGAGCCACACCAGCCAGGGCTGGATTTGTATTTTTTAAAAAAATATATTTTATTGATTTTTTACAGAGAGGAAGGGAGAGGGCTAGAGAGCTAGAAACATCGATCAGCTGCCTCCTGCACACCCCCCACCGGGGATGCGCCCGCAACCAAGGTACATGCCCTTGACCGGAATCGAACCCGGGACCCTTCAGTCTGCAGGCCGAAGCTCCATCCACTGAGCCAAACCGGTCAGGGCACGGACTTGTATTTTAAACTCTCGAGTCCCAGGAGAAGCTTGTTAGGAAATGACACGAGTGACTTCTTTCCTTCGATGCCTCGCAAATTAATTACTGTTTTTTTTTTTTATCTTGCAGAAAATGATGTGCATTGTTATTTGTGTAATTATTTTGCTTGTGATCCTTGGAATTATCCTAGCAACAACATTGTCATAGCAACCGTAGCCTACGAGCCCTTCGTCCTGGAGCCAGCCCTCCCACGTCTGCAGCAAGCCAGCCCTCCACGTGGCTCACGGGCCCGGGCGTGGCGGCCGTGGCACCAAGCGCGCTGAGGGACACGGAGAACGCTGCCCGCAGCCTGGACGCGATGCGTTAGCCCCGCATCCTCGGCTCCATGAACAGCACGCCGCAAACCTTCAGCAATGTGAAACAGTGGCCTTAAGATGGGAATGATTGACATTTTCAATTTTTTATATTTCAGTGTTAAGACTATTTGTATGTCGCGTTTCATGAGGAATATTTTATGTTTGAAGCCACGCGATTCCGGGTCTGAGACTTGGTGTCGCCCCCCACCCCCCCCCCCGGCCCCCGGCTCACAAGCTCACTGATGCTTTTGTACCTTTTTTTTCGTGTTTACTGTTCGCAAGGAAATCCTCGTTATTATCACAGAGCTGTTTTGTAAGATATCTATGACGTTAAATGTTTATAAATTAACTGTTTAATATATTAACCTCTTAATTTACCCCGTTTTTATATATAAATGCTGCCTTTTGAGAGGAATAGGAGACACGGTGTCAGAGCCGTCTTCGCCCAGATGTTTACAAGGTTGGCGGCTGCCACAGGGGACAGAGGCCGCACAGCACCTCCCGGCGCCCGCTGTGGGCACTGGGCGGCGAGGGCCACCGTGCCAGGCCCTGGGGACAGTCCCCACGCTCACACCCAGCCCCGCCTCCTCCGCCCGCCACCCACTCGCCACCCACAGCGACTCAGCCACGGCAGCGCGAGGCGTGCCCAGCGAGGCCTGTGCCCTGCTGACATGGCCGAGTCTGAGGTTACAGCCGCGACTCGCTCCTTTCTACACGCAAGGCCTTTATCCCTCGACGTCCAGTGGTTCCTTCACACGAAAACCGTTGTGTCGATCACGTCTGTGTTCCTGTGAGCGCCTCGTCCGCCTGACCTTTGAGAGTTCATTCTAGAGTTTACAGGCGTCTGTGATCAGTAAGCGTTCTCATTGCTCACGAATGTTTCTGTGACGATGCTGTGCTTCCGACGTGGAACACGGGTGAAGACTTACTCGGGAGTGGACACCGTGAGGCAGCGACTCGACATTTGGATGAAGGATCCCCGAGAACCGTCCCCTTCCCCCTTCTGTCCCCGGGGGTGTGAGCCCGGGGCGGCGCCTTCACCTGGTTGGGTTTGATTCCAAACGACATTGGAAGCCGCTCCTTCCTTAGGCGGTGACGGGCCCCCCCTCCGGCCCAGCGTGTCCGTCTGCCTGCCGAGCTGCGACTCGGGTCTGTGTGCGGGCGTTTTCCTTCCTGGCTGGTCGTGCCTGGGGGGCAGCCTGGAGGACGTGGAGCCGGAGGTCATGCCCGTGTCGCTGCCCCTCGGGGGCACCCGTGTGTCCGTGCGGTTACGTGCACCCGTGCGGGAGCCTCGCGCGCCGGCCTCTCCCCACGGCCCCCTCGCCCCACCTGCAGCCGGCCGGGCCTCACCCTTCACGGCGATTCCTGCTGCATCGGCTTCGAGTCATTCTTCCCGGACCGGGAGTCCTGACGGAATCTGTGTTTTTACAGTGAAAGCTGCGGAAATGCTTTTTGGTTTCTATGTAGATACTCGCGGCATTTTTCAGATAACACATTTGTACGTCTAACCCTCCTGCACCGATTTGAAATCAGATTTTTTTAAAAAAAAATACACAGGTTCGCTTGTCACCTGCTACTATTTCTGGAGGTATTTTGTGTTTACATTTAAAAAAACTCCCTGAGTCCCGAAACATCAACAAGAAACACACAACAAAACCACCACCACAAATACCACGTGCTTCCTGCCAGTCACCTCTGGGGAGGGATTTGGGAGCCATTTTACTGCATATCCACGAATAAATTGTCCTAAGGAAGTCACTCACCTGTGGCCGTTACTCTGTCAGAGCGAGTTGATGACTTTAGGTTCTTTGAGAACATCTTCGATTGTTCGTTAGTTGTTGTCGTAGTTACAGGCTTCTGGGTCTGTCTCAGCCGTCAGCGGCTCCTGCGCCTTCAGGACCTGCCCGAATGCCTGCGGTCCCGGCAGGTGCCGGTTGGAGGGATCTGGGCCCTGACTCGGCCACTGGCTTTGACTTAGGCCTGTGGTCGGCAAACTGCGGCTCGCGAGCCACATGCGGCTCTTTGGCCCCTTGAGTGTGGCTCTTCCTAAGCCTTAGGAGGACCCTAATTAAGTTAATAACAATGTACCTACCTATATAGTTTAAGTTTAAAAAATGTGGCTCTCAAAAGAAATTTCAATCGTTGTACTGCTGATATTTGGCTCTGTTGACTAATGAGTTTGCTGACCACTGACTTAGGCCAATTTGACAGGTGCCCTAACGCTGACCAATAGGGGGCGCCCTCCCCAGGCTCTGAGCCATCTCCCTCTACACCAGCAGTTCTCAACCTGTGGATCGCGACCCTTTTGGGGGTCGAACGACCCTTTCACAGGGGTCGCCTAAGACCATCGGAAAACATCTATAATTACCTATTGTTTTTGTGATTAATCACTATGCTTTAATTATGTTCAATTTGTAAGAATGAAAATACATCCTGCATATCAGATATTTACATGACGATTAATAACAGTAGCAACATTACAGTTATGAAGTAGCAACGGAAATAATTTTATGGTTGGGGGTCCCCACAGCATGAGGAACTGTATTAAAGGGTCGCGGCATCAGGAAGGTTGAGAACCATCGCTCTACACTTTCCGAGTCTCTTCAGTGGGATTTCCTCGATCCATAGCCCTGCCTGGGTTCTGACCACGTTGGAACCGACGTTCAAAAGCCAGAATCAGGCCCCGGCCGGTGCGGTGCAGGGGGTTGGGCGTCATCCCTGCACCGATTGGTCGCCGGTTGATTCCCCATCAGGGCACAGGATCCCCGTGGGGGGCGTGCAGGAGGCAGCCGGTCCGTGATTCTCCTCTCTCTCTCTCTTTCTCTCTCTCTCTCTCTCTCTCTCTCTCTCTCTCTCTCTCCTTGTCCCTCTCTCATCCCTTCCTTTTATATAAAGAAAGTCACGGTTTTGATACTCGCTCCCCGCAGCACCTGGGAGTCCCCAGCCTGCAGAGCACCCGCCGGGCAGCAGAGGGCGCCCCGGCCCAGGCGCCGAGTCTGGGCTGCCCCCCCCTCCCTCACACCCCACCACTGCGGGGGAACTCGGCTTCTTCGTCTCCTTGGCAACTGTTTTCTTAACCCAGGACGGGTGTCAATCAAATCCCATCTTCTCGGGGACCCCTGCGACCCGGGAAGAGCTGTTTATGTTGCTTCCGAAGGGGGGGCCTCCGCCCAGGACTCCGGGCCGTCTGCCCGCGGGTAACCGGGACCACGGTCACCTGGAGGCTCACCCCACTCGGGGGCGGCGGGAAAGGCTTCGGTGAAATGGACGGACTATTGAGGCCCCGGGAGGAATTCCAGGCGAGCAGGGGGCCGTCCGGTCCATCCGGTGGGATAACTCCCTGGCTGCGCCTCCGGAGAAGGCGCTCCGGGGAGTTTCCCACAATGCGCAGCGGCTTCCAGGAACCCCCTGGAAATGAGTGGCCCAGAGGCAGGGACGCCCAGGTGACCAGGGCAGGAACCCGTGGTGTCCTGGTCAGCTGCCCAGAAGCCCTGTGCGAGCCTGAGCCCTTTGGGATGCCCGAGATTGAAAAAACAAGGCCGCCCTGGCAGGTGGGCGCAGTGGTTAGAGCCCCGGCCTTTGCACCAAAGGGTTGCAGGTTTGATCCCCGGTCAAGGCCACCTACCTGGGTTGCAGGATCGACCCCCCCCCCACTTCCTTCCACTCTCTCTAAAAAGCAATGGAAACCCCCCCCCCCCTCCAGCCTGGCCCCTGTGGCTCAGTGGTTGGACGTCAACCTATGAACCAGGAGGTCACATGCCCGGGCTGCAGGTTGGATCCTCCGCCCTGGTCAGGGCGTGTGGCCTGGGCTGCAGGGTGAGCAGCAGGCGCTGCCTTGGCCCTTTGCTCTGCCCCGCAGCGCACCGAGCCCAGCTGCAGAGGGTCTGGGACTTCGGGGCCTGTCTCGGCGGGCGTTGACATTTGCGGTTTCCCACGAAGTCCTGGGCGCATCACTTGGCTCAGCCTGATCCTTATTTGGATCCTCCCAGCTGGACGGACAGACAGATCCGTCGGAAGAGCCGCCTTCGAGGCGAGAAGGGCGTGGGAGCCGCCGAGCGGGGGTGGTGGTGGTGGGTGTGGCGGTGGGGGGTATCCTTTATTCATCGGCGCAAAGCATCCTTTATTCATCCGCGCAAAGGGATCCTCGCTGGAGCTTTAAATATACTTGACGCTGGAGTCGCGTCTTAGATAGACCTGCAGCGCGTTAATAATTAAACAGAATTGGGAAATGTTGAGTTTGGGGAAGCCGAGTCGGAATCCCCAGCCCCACGCTAGGAGCCCTCCCCTCCCCGTGGGAGTTTTGCCTGAACCAGGACTTAGAATCAAGTCCACAGTTTAGCTGAACCTCATCTCCTTGTGGGCGGGGGACCAGGAACCTTAAGAAAAGGCTCAGTGGTTCAGCCTCAACCTGTGAACCGGCAGGTCAGGGTTCGATTCCCGGTCAGGGCACTTGCCCGGGTTGCGGGCTCCTTCCCCAGCGTGGGGCGTGCAGGAGGCGGCCGAGTCCTGGCTCTCTCTCATCATGGATGTTTCCCTCTGTCTCTCCCTCTCCCTTCCTCTCTGAAATCAATACAGATATATTTTTAAAAAGAAAAAAGAAACAGAACGGAAAGCCATCTTGGCGTGAGTCTGTGCGCGCGCGCGCCTGT